TCAGGTGTTCCATTTCTTTAGATGTGTGTGTAGCAGGTCTTCAAGGCAGTCTGCCTTCCCATAAGTTCATTAAAGATCCACGCTGCCCTGGCCAATTTGGCTCAGTGGATAGAGCGTGCGCCTGCGGACTCAAGGGTCCCAGGTTCAATTCCAGTCAAGGGCATGTACCTGGTTTCAGGCAGATCCACAGTAGAAGGTGTGCAGGAGGCAGCTAATCGATGTTTCTCTCTCATCAATGTTTCTAACTCTCTATCCCTCTCCCTTCCTCTCTGTAAAATATCAATAAAATATATATTTTTTTAAAAAAAGATCCACTCTGTCTGACCCTTACAAGGAAAAAGAGCCTTTTGTTTTGTTTTAAGTTACCACCTTACAACTACACTCCATTTACCTCATGTTTTAGTGGGAAGCCTTAACTGCTGACCAAGCATTCCTCTAACTCTCTCCATCCTCCCCTGAGGCTTGAGTGAGACCACTAACAAGACCCTATCATGAGCGTGGTGCGCGTTCCTGCCATTTCTCTAGCTGTTCAGTGATTGAATACCTTGTTCCCCACCCCAGCCCATTACAGAGTCCTTGAGGGCAAGGACACACTCTATGACCTCCTCCTGTGGAGCCTGGGCACTGCCTGGTACTTGGGTTAGAATTTAAAGAATCAACCAATGATTTTGTTTTAAACTGCATTCCTTCCGAAGGCTTCACCTGTTTGTCAGATGAAAGGATCGGGGAAATGTTGCATGGATCAAGAAGAAGGGTCTTTTGTGAGTAGGCAGGAAAAGGTAAGTATCTGGTGTTCCGCTGCATTTGGATTTGACTGAAAAAATACCCACGTAAATCCAAATGTATTCACGTTATCTACTCTTTTCAGTGAATTCAGGGCGTAAACAGCCTTCAAAAGTCCTCCAAATGGGCAGGCCCCTGACTTTCATGAGGCCAGTCACCACAAAAGGCTGTCCTCTGTCAAAAGCGTTGCAACTTTCTGTGCTAATCTGGGTTTACCCATCCCCTCACGCCCCATCAGGTGACATAAGCAGTGGTGGTGCATCTTCATGCTCATGGCAAATACGTATCTGCAAATAACACTTGAGACCCAGCACAGAAGCTTAAAACCCAACTCCTGACACCCAAAGAGCCAGCCCGGAGCTCAGTAAAGCTGCCAGGGGCACCGTCATGGTCCTCCGAAGGTGGGGAGAATCCCACTGGGGACACCCTGGGCCCTGGCACCCACCTTTAGTGTCTGAGGTGTCAGAGGGTCAGGCCCTAACTCTGAGGTCCCACAGTTAGAGACTCCTGTGCATCTCCCAGTTACTCTGAAGTTCCACTTGTATTTTGTTTTGTTTTGTCGAGATATGTACCAAACTGTATAATGAAGACGAATTCCAGCCCTTGGATCCATCCCAGGAACCTATATTCCCTCCCGAACTGATAGTAAGACACTTTACTTTTATTTCATAACATAATGTGGTATAAGCCTTTGTATTATCCTGTGGAATTACCGAGCTTTAGACAGTAGAAGTTGGAATTGTGTACACTATAATAACCCCTTTCCAGGACCTTGTTCAGCTCCACTGTAAATAATTTGAAGCAGATAGTTTAGAGGCATGGGGCTCCCAGGACCTCAGAGATGCTTTGGTCCCACCCCCTTCGTTGAAGAGTCTAAGCTCAGAGCTTGTAGGTGACGTACCCAATGTCACACAGGTACTCTGTGAGATACTTTTAAGGCATTTTGTAAAACCGGTCCAGTAAAATTCAAATGATACTTATTATGATGGAATTAAGTTATTCTTACAGTTAACCTCTGTGATTTCAACTCAGGTGGGAGAGAGAGCGAATGATATAAACAGTGTGATAGGCCCATCATTTTACTCCATGACTATGGCCTGGAGAGAGCATGAGATGAGCATGAGATGAGGGATATGATTCTACCGGCTTCTCAGAGTCTCAGTCCCTGCACACCCCTCAGAATGTGAGAACTTGGACACACCTCGTATTTAAAGATTATATGCATACAGATTGATATAGATATACACATGTGTATATATACATTATAACAACATCCACATACACTATACCTGGTGGGTGATTTAAGGGATATTTTTTAAGGATAACTTTGCTTATAAGCAATTTTTATCCTACCAAAAAAACCGTAATTCCAAACATGAGGCCCCTCTGAGTCACTCTTGGGACAGAACTAGAGCAAGAAGCCGGGCCCTTTAGACACTCATCACACCATGCAGCCTCCTGTTCACAGAGTCTGCTCTACTCTATATGTAGGCATTGACGGACAGGCATTGACGGACAGACATCTATTATGTTTAATGCAGTGGTGCCCACACAAAACTTACAAATCTGGTCTCAAACAAAGCCACCCTTTCCTGTTCCCTAGAAGTTAGGTCTCGTCAGAAAACTAAAATGGCCAGTGGGCCATTTGGACACCCAGAGCAGTGTATATATTCATGGCATGCAGCCCAGCAGCCTTACCTGAAAGCCTGTGGGCTTTGCTTCTCCGCAGAGGATGGTGGAAGATCCAAGCAAGAGAAGGCTGACATTTCAAGGGGAAAGGACCACCTGGATTACCCCTGTGGCCCTGAATGACCTCCTGGAGCTGAAAGCCAAGTACCCCAAGGCCCCCCTTGTCATGGGGAACACTGCAGTGGGTGGGTGTTTGAAATTCTGTTCTTTAGGTAACCCAAACACTGTGTCTCTCTTTAAACTCCTCATAAATGCAATTCATCTTTACTAGTGGATGCCTCTGCCTTTAGAATGCTCTGTTGCTTTCTTTTGCAAATGTCTTTTTTGTCACCATTTTCCCTCTTGATTTTCTGTAAGCAACATCTATTGGCACTCATCGACTTCCTTTCCTAATTGCTTTAAATGCTTTTCTCCTTGAGGACCCGGCATTAAATTCAAAGATGAATTCCATCCAGTTTTCATATCTCCATTTGGGCTTCCAGAACTGCATTTTGTGGACAGCACGGACAATGGTATGCACCTTCTTTTTCAAATAATATGTAATGATTGGCTGTTGGTGGACTGTTCATTATATACAATGGGCTGATTTGAGCACTTCATAGAATATCTGACCTCATTTATTCATTCAAAAAATGTTTATTGATCATCTACTCTGTGCTTTTCGTGAGCTTTTTCAAACTAACCCACTCCACTCAGCTGTGTCACTGAGGACTGCATTGTCAAGGGAGCCGTAATGGCGGGAAGATGCCCCGTAGTTCAGCCAGGTATGGGAAGAGTGACTGAATAAGAAGGCTTAAGACATTGGCTGGCTGGTAGGAAAGCGTTTTGCTAGACATCATTTTTTCCTTTCTTTTTTTTTCCTTCACCCAAAAATATGTTTTTATTTTATTTTTTAAATATTGTTATATGTTTTTATTTATTTCAGAGAGAGAAAGGAAGAGGAAGATATAGAAACATCAATGAGACAGGAT